CGATAAGAGATCTACTGAAGTCAGCTTTGTACCAGGAGACAAGGTGTGGTTGTATAAGCCCAGGAAGACCAAAGGGAAGTCTCCTAAGTTGTCTTCTCCATGGGAAGGCCCGCATGACATAGCGGATCGTCTCTCAGACGTGACTTTCTGAATAAAATGTGGTTGGCGAGGCAAGCCTAAGGTGGTGCATGCCAACAGGCTTTGGCATTATCCCAGTCCAGGACATTTCAGTTGGAATGAAATGAACAACAGAACAAATGACGCTGCCAAAGACATGTCACCTGAAAAAAGCCACTGTTGAAGAAGAAACTCTACCCGGTTTTGAGAGGGAAAACAGTGAAGCCGTTAATGAAGTTACTATCACTGATGTGACTGCTACTGATAATGGGACATTTCCTGATGGAGCAGATGAATCTCACATAAAACAGAAGCCAATAAGACAGAGACCAGTACGAAAGAAGAAACATCCTGTAAAATTAAGAGACTTTGTTGTATTTTAATTTTGTGTTTGTAAATTCTGTACATTTAATTAAGTTATTGTTAATTATCTATTGATTTAATGTAAGTGGCTATTGTTCAGGATGAACAATACTAAGGAAGGGGCAGCGTTACAACAGCGGAAGTCATGTGACGCTGGTGACACATGATGAATTTCTCGAATGATCATGAACAATCGGGGAGGCTGAGTTTATTTGAGATGCCCCCTTCGTTGGTATATAAGCCTGGCAGAGAAAGCCTGTGGGAATGAATGAAGAGAGTTCCCGGTAATTTACGATTCTGTTTCGAGCTAGTGTGTGTTTGAGATTGTGAATCGCTGTGATTTATAGCGTGCATTATAAAAGTAGTTGAGTTTAAAGTGACAAGAAACATACTGATTGTGAAATTACTGTGTGCTAAAAGTTTGTATCGAGGAAGAATAAACTGGTTTAACCAATAAAGGACTTGTATCGCTGAAGTTTCTCAGGAAGGAATTTCTACCGAAAATTTACAAACAAGCAGATATGCAACACATACATATATTTATATTATTACCACTACTATAAAAAAGCCTCTATTTATATTAAGTTTTTGCTTGAATATTTTTTGAATAATAAGAATAAAATAACATCTCTGCTTATAAATAAATGTGGATCATTATTTGAAAATAAAAGTTCTGGTGTGACTAAAATTTTAGAATTAATAATCATGCAATAACTTAACTCTGAATTAGTTTATCATTGTCCCACAATCAAACCAATTCAGATTAAGCACTGAAATATACTTTCCAGACTGACTTTACCAAATACAGATCTGTAAAAAATTAGCTTAAGTGAATTAAAATGAAAATAAGCAAATTTGAAATTAAGAAGTAATCTTTTATTGACCAATATAGTACAAATTTTAGGAAAACGGAACTTAACGTGAACCTTTAAAAATACATATATTTTAATTTTAAAGAAAAATATAGAGGCCTGTAAGATAATTTGATTGGATAAAACTATAGAAAAGTAGATTTTAAATTAAGAAACAACAAAATACATAGGCTTATCAAATACAGAGGGGAAAATTACATTAATCTATGAAATCAGTAACTTTTGAAATAAATAACCTACACAGATCTATAAGATACAAGTTTAAAAACAACTTACATGAACCTATAGGATAAGCAGGTTGATACTTCCTAATCCCAATTAAAATGAAGAACAGTACCAGTGGTATGAATAGTTCAAACACCAAAACAAGCTAGAGCAGAAAACAATCTTTTTTAAAACTTGGTTTTATTGGTAAACATATACAATACTACCTATAAAAAAAAAAAAAATATATATATATATATATATACACCTATCAAATATAAATATAAATGATTCTAAATTTTACAATTCAGGCTTGTATAATTTGACTGACCTTTAACCATGAAACTATACATACTACAACTCTGAATGTACTAAGTAACTTCATGTAACTTGGCAAGCTTTTAGTAAACATTAAAGTCTGTGGTACACAAAAAAATCAGTTTTTTAATAAAGTATTTACAGTAAAAGCTTGATATTTTATCTGTTAATATTTCTACCTTAATACTAACTGTAG